GTTTAGAGTTCAGGGTTTAGGCTTCAGGGTGGCTCTTGAAAGCTGCGTCAGTTTTGGGGTTTCCGAGTCGGGGATTCAGGGGGATTTGGCTGTCGGGCCCTAAACCCTAAACCCTAAACCCTAAACCCTAACTAAACGTCGGGTGTTCAAGCTTGAGGTTCCTTGTTGCGATCTTGATTCGTATTGGAGCCCAAAAAAATTACCCAGACGAGTTTGGGGGTTCCTTCTTATAGTTTAGGGTTTAGGGTTTAGGGTTTAGGGTTTAGGTTATATAATATACCGTAAAACCCTATTCTGACTTTGTCAGGTCCCTATGTTGAGGTAGGGCTTACATTCTCCCGAGCCTTGGCTAGATTTTGGGGTTTGGTGGGCCTGCAGGTCTTGAGGGCTTAACGTAGGGATCCGAATTCATGAAGATAAGCAGCGAAGAGCCCCCAATGTTAGCATAAAATATGCCATCGTCCACGTGAACTCCTATTCCGTTGAGGCCCCTATCGTCGGGCTTGCTAAAGTTCCACACAACACTCAATGCTTGCAAAAACTCGACAAAAAAGACCCTTACAAAACCCTACAAGGACTCGGGGCGACTCTTTTTCTAAGAAACCCATATAAACAAGCATCATAAAGTCACACGAGGGCTTAGGTTCCGAAGCCCTAAACCCGAAACCCTAAACCGTAAACCCCGAACCTTATGCCCCAATCCCTAAATCAAAATTCCCAAGCATGCTTAGACGAGCTTTCCCTGGGCTGCAGGCGACTCCCTGTCTCCGCAGCTACCTGTGCCCTCCCAAGAGCTGTTTGTCATTTCGGTGGAGAAGACTTTGCGCCCTGAGGGTTTTAGGGTTTTGTTTTAGGCCTTGGAGTGTAATGTAGGGGCCTTAATAATTAGAATAAGGTTCTGGAAATTCTTTATTATTATTGTAGTACAGTAGACCCCAAAGAACCTTATTCTGATCCTAAGCCCTAAGCCCTAAACCCTAAACCCTAAGCCCTAAACCCTAAACCCTAAACCCTAAACCCTAAACCCTAAACCCTAAACCCTAAACCCTAAACCCTAAGCCCTTATGGTAAGGTTTCGGATTTGAGGGCCAGGGTTTGGGGTTTGGGAGGCTTCGGGCTTGGGAAGCCGCTCCAACACTGGCTGCCCGACCTCTCTGATGAAGCAGCAGTTCTTCGCCGGCGTAACCCTAAAACCCTAAATCCTAAAATCCTAAAATCCCAAATCCTAAACCCTAAACCCTAAATCCTAAATCCTAAAACCCTAAACTCTAAACCGCTAGCCCGTCCGGAGTTTGTCCCACGAGGCAGCTGCGTTTGGCAGGCACAGGATGGGGAGACTTGGCATTGGGATGCCGGGGGTTTCGGGAGGATGGAAAGCAGCCTCGGTTTAGGGTTTTAGGGTTTAGGGTTTAGGGTTTAGGGTTTAGGGTTTAGGGTTTAGGGTAAAACAGGAGACAGCTGAGAATCAACGCCTGAACTCGCGTTTGTGTGAAGCATTTTGCCTTGGTGTGGGGTCGCCAGACGGCACTGGATGGACGACGATATTGCCATCTAAATTCGTTCTGGTCATCATGGCATTCGTAGGAATATGCCTCATCATACTAAGAAGAAGAATAGCAGCAACATCAAGACTGCGAGCAGGGACAAGAGCAAGACCAAGAACGTAATGTATTTAATAAGCATCATAGTAACAACAACCATAGTAATGGCCACAAGAGCTACACTAGTATCTATGTTTACCAGTTATAAGTCAGAAGACTTCCCCTGCAGTCTTTGGAACATGCAAGCAGCGCAGGCGCGACAGCCTTGGTCTCAGTGCTGTTGCCGGAGGCGGGGATGAAGAAAAGCAAGAGGCACTCAAGTCTTCAACACTTTCTAGATCCCTGACAGATTCTTTATGGATCTGATAGATCCATTATGGACGCGTTGTAGATCCCTTATAGATCCCTGATAGATCCCTGACAGATTCCTTTAAAGAAAGCTCTCAAAAGGAACCCTCTGGGGGGGGTCGGCAGAAGGGAGTTCGGGCTTCCATGAGCAGGCCTGAGCCTCATCGAGAGGATCGGTGCGCGCCTGAGCCGTCCCGAGATTTAAGCGTATGTAACTTAAAGTATCGCAATGCGCTTGCGTATATATATATATATATATACATATGTATATCTATATATATATATATATGTACATGTATATGCATATGTTATATATATATATACACACATACACGCATACATACGCTTGTCTGTGTGTGCTAGGCCACGAGCTGAAGCGCATCGCGAAGGCCTGGAGCATGTCGGCATTGGATTAGAAATTCCATGCTGACTGCTGAGGTGGATGTGGGCAGGTGTTGCTCCCCGAAACCCTGAACAACCCCAACTGAGAGAATCCCCGATGGCCCTCTTTGTGATGTTTTCGGAGGTTCTCAGCGAATCCCCGTCAGCACCCGCTTCGGCTTCGGCGTATCAGCCGACAGGGCCTGCGGTGCAGCTGCAGCAGTCCCTAGATGCCCTGACTGGCTGGCGTGCAGGCGCGAAGCATCCACTCCTCCTGCCTCCTCCTCCTGCCTGTCATATTCATCGTCGTCATCATCAGCGTGACGATGGTCTTAAAAAACAAGACCGTCGCCATGACCAGCATACCCGTCATGATCTGCGTCGTAGATGCAGAGATGCAGAGTACTCTGCCGCCTTATCCTCCAAACCCCAAAGCCCAAGCCCTAAGTCCCAAATCGAGTGCCACGTCGTGAGCCGGATGAAGATGGATTGAAAGACACAGGTGGGAGTAGATGCAGCCATACAGCGCATTTGGATCGAGGTCCAAGCCCAGTAGCCACTGACAGAGCCCTCGTTTAGGTCACCTGAATCTGTCATGGAGGGCCGCACACTCGCCGCGTTCCGGCCAGAAGGGTCCAAAGCCGTGGTGAGCTTCGACCGGGTGAAGGCGTGTTACATTTTCGTGTTGGTGGGCTTTCATCAGCAGCTTCTGAATGCTCCCAATCACCGTGTGCAGTTGGCCCACTACTTGCCGTACAGGACCGTGGACCATGGTGTGGAGTTGATGATGGGCATGATGCTCATCTCTGGATGGCTGTCGTCGGCTACATGGAAGGATGCCAGCTGGGCCAACCACATGCTCAAGAAAGTCTCACGCCTCATCCCACCGTACATCGTGGCCGTTGTCTTCACAGCCGTGCCACTGGCCTTGGAACGCGACGGCTGGGAAGGCTTGCTGCAGTACGGATTGGAGATCCTGACCATCGGCGGCTGGACCCCACTGCTCTCATGGTGGACCATGAACCGACCGCTCTGGTTCCTCTCCACGCTGCTGACCTATCACTACGCGTCTCCCTTCTTTTTGAGGTGGACACGCCGGCAGAGTGTTCGGCGGCTTCTTCTCGTTCTGGCCGCCCTGTATGCTCTGCGCACGGGGATCGCATGCCTAGTGCTGGTGCTGCTGGAACAATGGACCGGGGACCTGGAGTCTGGGGTGTTCTTGGAAATCATTTTTAAGTTTTAAAGACTATAATCCCTATACAACCTTCTATAACCCATAATCTAATATTTAAGTTTTAAAGACTATAATCCCTATATAACCTTATATAACCCATAAGAATCTAATTTTTATAGGGCCTCTGAATCCGGCCCAGGAGTCTTATGCGCGCATCATCCACTTGTGGAGTCCCACGCAGATCTGGGTCCCCTTCATGGGGGCGATCTTGGAGCAGATCACCGCTCGCACTGCGCTGCCGGCATGGGTGCAGAAGTGGCAGGTTTGGCTTCTGTCCGACGTTTTGATCCTCGTGTTGATTGGATGCACAAACTTCTTGCCGTCGACTGGACGGCCGATGGTCGATGCACTCCTGGCCTACAACAATCTCCTCACCGGGCCTCTGCAGCTTGTCCTGGTGGTGCTGCTCAGCTGCGATTGCAACTCTTTCAGGCTCCTGTCTAGCCTTACTGACGGCACCCGCAAGCTGGCAGCCGCCATGTTGAAGCTCTCCTACACGGTGTATCTGACCCATTGGCCTTGGGCCGCTTGCATGCACTATGCCGGGCGTTTTGCCTTGGACTCCTGGAACTCCATGTTGGCCACATGGGCTACTTCCATCCTTTTTGCCATCTTCCTGGACTTCGTCATCGTTGACCCATTCACTGCGACATTTTGTGGCTGGATCACGCCGAAACCCAAGGCTGGAAATGAGGCCACCAAGGACGATCCGAAGCCCGACATCGCACAGCAAAAGAAGGCCGAAGAGAGCAAAGATCCGGAGCTTGGCCTATCTGAAGAGGTAGTGCCGCCCCGGGAAAGGAGCTCGGAAAGGGCTGAAACGCTTCCCTTTACTGCCTTCCGCTATTCCCAGGTGTGATGTGTGTTCTGACAATGTTTCTTGGGACTTCGCTTGATCCTTGTCGATCCGTAGAAACATCCCTCACATGTGCTCAGAGATTCCCAGAGGCCTTAAGACGCCACTGGGCATCCGCCTTCCAGGTACAGCCCCAGGGCCCGCCCTCCCTGGTAACCCGGCACCTGTAAAGCTAGTGCCCCAAAAAAAGGGTCGGTTTTGACGCTTTTGGGGGCTTCCACGGCCCAACCCACGAGTTTTGGTCAGACCGCGGCTGGAGTTAGATGGGAGAACGACAAAACAAGGTGGAGCTTGTGGCTGTCGACTTCAGTTGGAGTTTCTCTCGGGGTGTTTTGTCTTGTCTAAACCCTAAACCCTAAACCCTAAACCCTAAGCCCTAAACCCTAAACCCTAAACCCTAAACCCTAAACCCTAAACCCTAAACCCTGAAAGCGGTAG